ATTCAGATTTTTTCAATCACGCTTTCGTTGTCAAATCGGAGCAGATTTGAAAGGCTAGTAAGTGGGCCGGACGGAGTCGGCATGCAGAAGCTCCTGGCGGATAGGCAATCTGCCATTCTCCCGCTTTCCCTGCTTAGGTGTTTCTCGCACGATCGTACCGCTATCATACTACTCATCTATGTTACTTTTCACTTCACACATTCAATAGCTATATAAGTAACGCTATCATAGTACTCTAATATAAGTTAATACCACATCTGTACTATCTTTCACTAACCTTGTATGATATGTGGCCGCTAATAACTTTATTGTTAATGCGGCCACGATAAAATAAACAGCTACAAAAAAAAATAATAATTTAAGGAAGAGGGAGATCAGTTTGAATCCTTTAAGGTCTCAAAAGTACGTGGAATGCATTGCAGTAAGTCTCATTGCAAGAAATTTATTAAAGAAAAAATTTATTTATTAAAGAAAAAAATTTATTAAAGAAAAACCTTAAAGGATTCAAACTGATCTCCCATTTTCTATTATTTCAAGTCATTCACTATAGAAATTCACTATAAAAAACTTCAAAAAAGTAAAAAAATTACGCCTAGTACATGATAAGGTGGAGGACTCAAGGAGTTATCATAGAAAAATAAAAGATCCCCATAAAAAACTACAAGAAAGTAGAAAAAAATGTGAAATCTAAATGAGCTGCAGGTACATGAAAGTCCTTTCCAATAACGTGCAAAGGCGACACTGTGTAACACAATGTAAAATTCGATGGTTTTCAACTATGCGCAGCTAAAATGCAATGTTCAACAGTGCTGACGTTCAGGCCCTAATGACAACTCATGTAAAGTGACTACTCCGCACTTTGGCGGTAAAATTGTATGATCAAACGAGCCCGCCTTCGGCTTATATTGTAGTCATGCTTGTCATGCCTAACTTCACAACGTTCAACGCATAGTGGTTCCCTTCTCCAAAAAAAAAACCGGTGCTCTGCCAACTTCACACTCTCATTAGCCTCTCCAACTTCATATTGTTTTGTGTACTGTCCTTTGAATTATCACGACTTTTATTGAAGATGATAGCGGGAACTGATTTGGGGGTTAAGTAAGGGAGGGAAACTATCATCTTCGAACGAGACACTTCATATAATTTTAATTTCTGTAAAGAATAGCGGAATATATTGACCGCCGCCCCATGCCGAGGAGACGAAGACATGGGCCAGGCGCGCGTGGACGACAGAGCGCGACGCTGCGACGCGAGGCCCGATCAAAGACAATGTCGGAGGCCCTTTAAAAAGGCCTTCCTTGACGAGGCTACGGATAGATTTTCCCAGACCGGAAAGTCACTTCGTTGCCAGCCTTCGATACGAGCAGAGCTCTCCACAATAAATGAACATTGTATTTTATACGCGGCGATTTGTATTTGCCTTTATTCTATCGTTCTTACATTTCCTCGAGTTTTTTACATTTTTTATTTATCCTGGATGCAAATAAATCCACTGAAACAGAACCAAATTGGTTTTGTATGCTTGTAAATGCATGATGAGATAGTTCCCATTCAGCATCTATATTAATTTGACGCGACGCATTGTCAGCTTCTGTATTCTCAGCAGATGGAATGTAGGATGCCCTCAACCAAATTTTCCTCTCTTCGCATCATTCCCAAATTTTTCTTGACAATTCACTCAGTTTTGGAAATCGTACGCCATCCGCTTTATTAATGTATGGAATCGCCGTTGTATTATCCAAACGAAGTAAGATTTCACATTGCGATAATTTTGAAGCAAAACATTTTATTGCAAAAAAGGCTGCTAACAGCTCAAGATAATTAATGTGATCTTTTCCTTCTTTCTTATTCCAAAACTCATACGTTTTTAAACCGTATTACAATAACAGCCCCAGCCTGACAATGAAGAATCGGAAAATATTTCCATTGAATAAACTTGTGTTCTAATTGGATTTGATCCTCTGACAGTATTTATTTGCCACCAATTAAGATCTTCTGACATACCTTTAGATATTAAGATTTTTTCCTCGTAATTGCCACCGTTAAATTTCAAAGCTAGAAATTTCTGCCTTTCCAGGCGTTTACAATAAATGAAATCATAAGCTACAGCTGGGCACGCTAAAGTTAAAACTCCCAAAAACTCTGCAAATTTTCTAATTTTATACATTCGTCCTACCTTAAATTCACTTACATTTTGCAATATTTGATGTTTCTTTTTATATGTCAAGTTTAGAGAAAAACTATTTGAATCAATAATAAAACCTAGATATTTACACTGTTGTCGTGCTAAGAGTGAACTCTTTTTATAATTTATGATGAAGCCTAAATGCTCTAGAAATTGAATGGTCTTTGCCACATTTTTCTAACAAGCAGCTTTTGATTTATGAATAAATAAGAAATCATCTAAATATAATACCAGCAGCATTCCTTGCAACCTTAATTTGTGTATGACTGGTTTCATTATTTTTGTAAATACGTAAGGGCTAGTACATAATCTAAAATAAATTTATGGCAGATCGAATATCCTCTAATTTAAAATGTGGAGGATCTAAGAATTTGTTCAATTCTTTAAGATTAAAAATAAACCGATATGAACCATCAGGCTTTGGTACAAGAAAATAAGAAGATATAAATTGCCCCTGACAATCTGTACATTCTTCAATAGCACCCTTCTTCAAAAGTTTATTAATTTCTATTTGAATTTTTTCTATTTCTCTAATAGGCCATATTCTCTCCGCAGGAGCAATGTTTTGAAATGGTAATTCATTAAAAGCAATTTTGTATTCCTTTATATAACTTAAAATATACTTGTCAGAAGTGATATGTTTCCACCTTTCTAAAAATTGACCTAGGCGCCCCGTCGGTTTGTGTACCTGATGGTTTATCTCCTTGACAATGAGTGGCTCATCGTCTGAAATTTCTTCGACGACGTTTGAGCTGCATTCTGTGCGGTTCTGGATGCTCTTCCTCTGAATTCCACATATCGTCGTTTTTTATATGGACCCACCTGACGGTACCCCGCAGGTGGGTATCTGGCGTTTCCCTTTTCTCGAAATTTTTGATTATGTTTTTGTGGCATTTTTTCTTGTATATCTGCACAAGCCCTTTCAATTTATTTCGGATCTTTTATTGCATCCTCCAGGTTACTTCCATAAAGCCACTTATCGGAAATCATTGTTTCTACCACTGGCTTAATGCTTTTCTTTAGGTGTGGCGTTATATATGATTTTCTAGCTACTGATAGCTGATGAAATACGTCCACTAGGATCTGGTCTGCATGACTGATATAATTCGTAAAAACTTCCTCGTCTAATCCTTCTTCTGAAGAATCAATCAACAAGGACACTGCAGCACCCAGAACAGCTATTGCCGTACCTACACAGTTCTGTGTCTTTACAAAATGTTCATCCCTCTTTTTTGGGATTTCTTTGAGTAAAGCTTTTATTTCCAAATTTAACTTGGGAACTTCAACATGAAAGTCGTTCCTTCTGTCATAAGTCTCCAGAATTTCCTTCTTGTTCTTTTCTGGAAGGCCCTCCTTTTTCCACTTCAGCCACGTATTTTTTAGATGTCGATGATATTTGACTGGTTTAAACTTACTATCCGTGGGATCCATTCCAAGTACTTTTAGTACGTTATCATCTGAAGTGTTTTGCTCAATAATTTAATTTTTATTGCTTACTATTGTCCATACTATTATATCTGTAGGACTCGACGTTACCGACTAAAAGAATACTACGCGTGTGGCGCGATGTGCGAAATAACAATTGATACGCGACAAGAGTCGTGTGGTCTTTAACCTCATATATACTTATCCCGATCCATAACAATATCTTTGTCCTTATTGGACTCGTCACGATGAAATCGAAACTTTGAAGTCGTATAGACTAAAGAAAGTGCCGTACGGGCTGCCGCATTTTTGCGCCCACTTTCATCGCCGTATAGGCTGACGCGGACGTGTGGGCCTTGTCCCTCAATTTTCGTATGGAATGTTGAGGTTTCTTCTTCTTCTTTTTTAAATTTATTTATTTACTTGATTCATTACAAGAAGCATTTTCTTCTACAAGAGGTGTTGTTGGAGCCATCTTGGTCTGAGAATTTGCTATGTTCTCGACAACCTTTGTTAGGTTATCGATTTGTTTTTGTAACTGATCGAATTTTTCATCTGTTTCATGTTTCGATTGATGCCCTTCGTGCGATCGAGACTGTGATCGTTTTTCCTTCTTGTGTCCTGCCATCTCCCTCGATGAATAATGTACAATTGAATATAAACTACAAGAATATAATTAAGCGAAAAAAGAACGTCTAGACGCTTTGGTACAACGAAACAATATGAAGTTGGAGAGGCCAATGAGAGTGTGAAGTTGGCAGAGCGCCGGTTTTTTTTTTGGAGAAGGGAACCACTATGCGTTGAACGTTGCGAAGTTAGGCATGACAAGCATGATTACAATATACTATCATCGAGAACGAGACACACAGTATAATGAAGGAGTTAAATAGTGTAACAGCCACAAACTGAGACTGTATAGAAAGCCTGGATGTCCGCGGCCTGAAAGTCAAATGGTTGGCGTGGCCTGGCAAGGTCAAGGTGTCGATGAATAAGAATTATTTTAAAACGCTAAATAATGAAAGTGTTCGGAATTCGGGGTTTATGATACCAGCATTTGCTATTGAACCCAAGAACGAAAGATTTTATGGAATAGAATATGCCTAAATTGTACGTACATATTAAAAGCGGCTTTCTAAAAAATAACTTTGCTGTTGCTTGCTTTATAAATCGACCCGACCATCTGCACGTCAAATGTTTTGTTGTACATGCTGAGGATGCCTGAGAAGACCTATACAAGAGTAGAATCCTTCGCGCAACTCCTTTCAATTTCACTTGCGATAGCTGAAAAAGAAAGATGTAGGGGAAAGCAAACCGAGGCTCTTTGCGCTGTCGTAGCATCTTTTGGTTGCATGGATCAGCTTGGTTTAGAGATCACTTAAAGAAATTAGACTATAATTAAAAATATTTATTACTCAAAACATCATTTTCATATGATACAACACAATTCATCGATAACACTCAATTAATACAAACACGTTAGCAGATGCTAAAAAGAGAATTCGTATTTTATTTGGTCCTATTACAATATAAAGGTGCTAAAGGTGTTACAAACTAATACTAAGTAATGAGTAGTTCGCGCTACAGCGCTCGAGTAGCGAACGACCAACACCTTATCAACAGTGATCTGAAACCTTCACTCCAAGATGCCAATATGTAGATCAATAATACGAAGAGAAATATTTTCGTAAATACATCAACCCAGTACATACTGTAATTAAAAAAAAAAATTCGTGAAAAAACTTTATACGTTAGAAACTCGCAGATTTACTCAATTGTCTATTAATTTCAGTAGGATTATTCATTGAAACTTTTCAACAATAAATTTGGAAGATCCTTACACTCTTAAATGTCTTCGAGCAGCTGGCAATGTTTCTGGACCTTCGTTTAGAATAAATATTCTTGCAGCTCGTATACACGTCTCAAAGTATGCGTCTATATCCATATCTTCCCCATGTAATTGATACTTTTCGTACTCCAATGAATTAAATTGATCTCTTATTTTGTATACATTCGAGTTTTCAAAGTCCCATTGGTTGTTAGCGTAATACTCGAAGACCTCAAAACCTTTTCGTATCCGGCGTTGTACGCGACACATGCTGCGTATATTAAAATTTGTATCGTTAAATTACTTTAATTTTAGAACTTCATGTTTGTCAGCAAAAGTATTACGTGTTACAAGAATTGAGGAATGGTAAATATACTAACATCGGTTTGTAGCCTGCAAGGAAAATAAGCGCGTCTATGAAGTAGGCTGGTATCATGTGGAAAAGTATAACGCATATATTGTGCATGAGTCGTGACTTCTTCATACTACCACCTGGATACCAAACAATACCATTTAGGGGTACCTTCTCTGTTATTTTTCGACCACGTGCGATAATTTCTGCCCACGAAACCTACAATTTATTATTATTACAAGTTACGATTATTCTATTTCCAAATATTTGTATCGCTTAGTATTGTATGGCTAATAGTATACCTTGAATTCATTGCTACTCGTAAGATTGTAAACTCTCTTCTCTTGATTCTTCAGGTAAATAAAGTTCCAAGTAGTGGCCAGAATAGCATTAATAGCGATATCGACAGGTACATAGTCAGCGTAACCATTTTCATCACAATACATTGTTCGAATGACACCTTTTCCAGCACCGATTAAAAGTCCTGTTGGTCCATTGATGTTGTCAGTCCACCCAGGAACAGGTTCTTTCCAGATAGGTATAACTACGCTCGGTCTAAGATTTAAAATACCATTTCTTTACGTATAGCAATTCCTGCTCAATTTCCATAAAAGGTAATCAATCGTTTGTACCTCAGTAGGAGTACTGGAATGTGTGGCATCGCTTCTTCGACAAGACCTTCAGCTAAAGCTTTGGTGAAGGCGTATGTATTAGGATAATCCCCTAAAATCTTATCTGTCATAGCTTCAACAACATTATCATCCATCCATTCCACACATTTGATGATTTTGTGAGGATCAGCTGGTGGAGGATATGCTACTTCTCTCAAGACCTGAAAGGAATCATAGGTTTATATTAGGTAACTGGATTTAAAAGATGAAAATCAAAGTTTGCTATCTTCTTTAGTTCGTTCAATTTTGTAACCATGACAGAAATGAGTGTACTTTTTCTTCAAGGTGGCAGTATGCAGTGCTGATGTAGGAAAACAGTTTCAATTGCTTCATCTCTTTAGCCAGGTCCAACATTAGTTTTGTACCACGTGTGTTCAACAAAACTGCTCGCTTCAACAGTTCATCGAATCTGGGAACATTTAACAATTAAATTCAACGATGATTTTCTAATTCATCTTGCATACAAATTTTTCATGTATATCTCGTATGTTACCGAACAGTGGCAGCAGCGTGATATACGATGGTGATTTTCTCACAAAGCATCTTTCTGTCTTCCGGCGAAAGACCAAGACCTGGCAACGATACATCTCCGTTTATGACTGTCACCGCCTTCTGAAGCGTTGCCAATCCTCTCTGTTTCTTAACTTTCTCAAAAAGCTGAAATAAACAATTGCCACATTACGTTTTCATCGAAGATGGACAAAATCTTATTCTGTGGATAAAAATACCGAATATCAAGGAATTTTATTTGTAGAGGTATTATAGATAGAGTACTATCCTATCTATCTCTGTGCGTTTATTTACGCGAATGTAAAATATACATGTAGTTATTAAAAGTATAAACAATAACCATTTATCATTAGCACAAAAATGGTATAAAAATAAAATTTGTAGCTGTAGTAGAGCCAGAGGTCTTGCTTCTCTACTCTATCTATAATATCTCTATGGTTTCTCCTTATTACAATATTTAGAAATTTTTTTAGGGTCATCTACGTGCAATGTGACAATATGTATCTTCGTATTGAAGTTATTTGTTGAAAATATAAAAACGATACAAAACATAGGTTACAGCCATTTTGCTACGTGTCATGGTTTGTTCGCATGTTGCATTCAACCAACGATCAAACTTGTTTCTTTGCATTTCCCGAGTTTCTAATAGAAGATGTTATAAACGATAATGAATCAACGTTAAAAGAAAACAAATCAGACGCTAGACTTTTAAATCGTGTATACTTCTCGATTCGATTTGTTTATACTTTGGCGCTTGTTAAGTGTATTTTATTAAGCATGTTTACGTTCTTCTACGAGTCTTTCAATTTGTTTTTCTTATAGACGTAGCGAAATGTGAGCTGCATTGAAATGTTTTTACTGTTTGTTTGCTTTAATCTTGTTTGACTGTTTGTTTCAATGAGACTGTAGTTAATGTGTTTATGTAAAGCAGTGTTTCTCAACATTATTTCTGTTTTTACAAGGTAAAATTATATTTAGGGCCATTTCGAACTGAAATTATTTTGCAAATGATAAAGGTGTTTAATTGTTTTGTTCCCGAGTTAAAGGTAGAAGTTTAACAGTCTCGCTGCGGACGAAAATAAGTAGCCGTTCGCTAGGAGCTGCAATTATGATTTTTTTTTTAATGAAAAATTTCTTACAAACGTTCTAAAATGATTATTTTGAAAACCATATGTTTGTGTAACTTATTTTATATATAATATGATTGCCGAACAAAAAAAATGAAAACTGAAAAATAATAAAACCAACCATAGTTTTATTTTAAAACACCTCAGTTGGACGCACATTTGCGTCATCCGCAACGAAAGTGTTAAGGAAGTTTAAATTATTGTATATAAGAATCGATCATCCGACAATTCCATGAACTGGCCGTCACTTGAATTCACGGAAGTTGCAGAAGTTGCGAGAATCTGTTTTCCTCATTAAATGATTCATAAGATGTCACATGCCGATTGACCTGTTTCCATATGTTGCAATTCATCCTTTAGCAGAGACATTTACACTTTGCGTTCGTGTTTCAATATTGGCGACGTACACTGCGTATCAAAATTATACGAACACTTGGATTTTTAAGATTTGACTATCTTAAAATAGTTTTTCATAAAAACCAATTATACTACGATATTCAACGCGTCAAAAGACCTCTGAACACCCACTTGCATTTTAATGTTGAAAGAATCAACGTTACTATAGCTTATACTCGATTTTTATACCGTATCAAAAATATACGAACACTTATTAAAATGACAATTTTATAAAATTTCATATGAAAATAACAGACTTTAGTTTCCCTCTACATTCAGTTTCAAATTTTAATGAATTATATCTTAGTAACGATGCGGCAACTTCCTAAATTTCAATTTCATTTAAATTGGAAAAATTTGCGGTGAAAATCTGTAGTACCATTAAGAAGCTGTGTTAAAATTACAAAATTTGTATATCTTTTTCCATAAAACCGATGTGGTCAATCTAAGTCGATGTAGGCTCATATGATTCATATTTAATCAAATAACAATCAAGTGGTGTTTTGTTAAAATTCGCTTTTGATACGCTATATTCCCATTTTTAAATTGTGTTAAAGGGTTAGTCGCAGACAGCAAGAGGAAAAACGACATTTCTTTGTGATTTTATTTGTAGTTATTAAATAATAATTTGCATAAGTAACAATTAAGTATATTATAAAGAATTTATATTTGCAAATTATATTGCCTATTTTAAAGAACTAAAAAACATTTTTTGCTTCAAGAAACATTTAATTTATATCGTCATAACAGTCGATGACGTAGAAGATGATTTAAAACCGTAGGTTTGCGGTGAGCAAGATTTCTCTACACTGGTTTACCTGAGAACAAAAACAAAGGTAGATTTCGAAAATATATTAGCCTAGCGGGTCCCCGATCGAAGGATTTTGGAAAAAATTAATTTCAAACAAGATAGCGTACATTTGAAGTTGATTTTCAATTTTTTCACTCAAATTAAGCGATTCAATACAGGATAAAAGAAAAAAGTATACAAGAAAATAAAAAATCCTTCGATCAGGGACTCGTTAGTCTAGTATATTTTCTAAATCTACCTTTAGTTTTGTTTTCAGGTGCACCAGTTTGAAAAAATCTTGCTCACTGCAAACCAAGTGGCCATCCACGCCATCGTCTGTTATCACGAAATGAATTAACCTTTTTTTAAAACAAAAATTCTTTTATAGTTCTTTAAGATATACTTTGGAATATATTTACATTTTATTTAGAAAAAATTCTTATTTAATACCTTAAAAAAACACACACATAAGAAATTTTCCGTTTCCATTTTCCTGACTGTGAAACTGAAGAATCGATAAAATTGAAAAATTTCTTCCTTTAGAGGCCTTCTTTTTTCTTTCATAGAAGGCTTTAAGAATTGTGGAGTGCAATTGAAGATATTTTTGTCAAGTCTTTCAGGTCCACAGCCAAGGCCTGGTTCAATGAAATAATTGATTAAAAATGTTAATTTTATTTTTGAAGTAGGAAACTTTCTTGCGACGTTAAACTAGAATAAAGGTGTTTAATTAGCTATCAAGCTACCACATCATAAAAAACCAACTTAAAATTGAACGCATCTAAAACATCCTATTCAAACTAATTAGTACTTCAAGATTTTGTGCATCATCCTCTGTCGTTGTTACAGTAAATTTAAAAGAATTTAACAATCGTTGAATGAATAGTCAGCTATCTGATTTCCCTTCTAAATATCAATTCATTACGCAACGAATTTGCATCGAATCATTGGAAAAATAACATTTTCGATTTCTTTGGGTTGCATTTACGTTAGAAAACGACGTCGTTTGTGTTAGATATCCATCGTTACGGTATTTGGTTAGCAGCATTTAGAGATGTCTGACATAACGCCACACGTGGAATAAGAACTTTCACCATGCGCGAGACTCGATAGTAAAGATAATAATATCGTTTACCATCATCATTAGACACGAGTCCTTGACTCGGTTTCTCATTTTTTCGTCTCATAACGTAAGTACATAACGTGGAATTTACGAATGTCATTATTGTTCACGCGTGAAGAAACTTAAGGGTATACTGGAGAGATTTGCCTCTGGGTGGAATTTAGAGTGATCAGGATGCTTGGGAAATGTTATTTGAGTACTGACCAAGATTTTGACATGGATTAATAATTGATAGTCGTATCTGTCATGAAAACTCATTTTATTGTAGCATTGAATTAAATGACGAATAAGCAACTTTTTATAACAAAAGTATGGGATCCTTTTTTAGGAACAATTTTTTTTATAAAAATAATAGAAAGGGCCTCTTAGTCAAATACTAATAGGCTTTTACCATTTATTTTGAAATCTAGGGCTTCATCATATAGATATATATACAAGTAAAAATCTTATCTAATTGTAAGTACAAATTTTAAATCATGAATGAAAAATAAAAAAATTTTTTTTTAACAGAAGTGTGCGACCTTTTCTAACGAGCAATTTTTCCATAAAATAAAGAAAATTTTTACTAAAATGGTACAAGGCTTTTACCATCTAGATGTAAGATTCTTATATCTAGATACAGATATCAAATAATGAAAGAAAAATAAGCAACTATTTATAACAAAGTTGTGGATCAATTGGAACAAATGTGTGCGTGGTGTGGAAAAAAAAATTGAAAAGTCCTTTACTACTTTGCAATCTAAGGTTTCGTCACCTAGATACGAGCAATTAAAGTTTACTGATGGGGCCCCATTTATGATCCTAGTCAGCTGATCACGCGACTGCGCACAGATACACAGCGTATACACTTTAACTGCTTGTACCTCGTTAACAAAGTCTCAGATTGCGAAATAGAAAAGGACTTTTTCATTCATATTGGTGTGAAGAATTGTTCGTGGAAGAAGGTACTACATTTTTGTGCTTTATGCATTATTTATTCCAATAAAATGTTGCCCACCCTTGACTGAGAGAAATTTTTATAAATTCATGCAGTAATTATAATCCGAAACGCAATCGATCAATAAAGAAATTTATATAAATATATATAAATAGTACAGGCCATTCATCATACAATATTATATATGGGTGATTCTATTCTAACAGTGATTATTAATGGCCTGTACTATTTACTCTCACTGGTTATACATTAACATTGTATTCATAAAATTTTTGTATTAATACGATCCAATATTAATATTAAGGATTCATCGCAAAAAGTTAAAAAATCGCCGAAGTTGTCTCAAACTCTAAAAAGTCATCAAAAAGATGTTGCTAGTGATTATTCAGCTAAAAGTTAGACTATATCGCTACGTACAAACTCAAGAATTTAAAAAATGCTGTGATGAAAACCAAAAACTATATTTAAGTTAATTTAATTTTCGTAAAATAGTATGTGTTAGATCTCAGTTGATTAATATTTAATATAAATTATAACGTATTATTATTTGTTAAAAATGAGTTACTACTTATTATTGAAGTGTTCAATAATTAGAATAAAAGAGTTTTAAAATGTTATAATACAATTCGTAAATAAATTTAATAATTTTTCTAAAGAATATCTACAAAATTTATTTTATGTCAGTACCGTGGATAAATGAGTCAGTACCGTGGGCTAAGAAAAATATGAAATTTGATTCTTATTCGATATTTTAAAGTTGTAGCAAAATCCTTTCGGACTTTCATTTTTACAATAAAATGGAGTAATAATATGTATTAAACAAAAAATTTATTATAAAATTGTAAAGTTTTTAATGAAAAAAGTAGCAGTTAGAACCGTATCACCCATATATTATATATATTATAATGTATTAAAGGTTTTACCTTTACAGAAGTTTATATTAAATAGAATAATTATATTTAAACTTAGTTAGATCGAATGTAAATCTTCTATAAAAATTGTAAAAGTATTGTATTTGAACTTAGATTGAGCTCTAATATTTTTAGCTGTCTGTTACGTTTTCAAAAACACAAATAACTTTATTATAACAGCAAAATCTATTCCAAAAGTTATATAAGACTGTTATTTTATGTGTACAATGTTTACACAATTACACTTTCTCTAAACATGTTCGTTCGAAGGATTATGGGTTGAAAATGTTGCATGTGTCGACATAACTCTTGTTCAACGTGTATTCCGCTAAAAATAAGTGTCTCGCAACGTGTTTAGGAAAGTAGATTGCCACAGTTTTTGCAACAATTAATGGTCAGACGTTTTCAGTCAGTATTCCCATTGCTCGTTCATCCTTCTCCCGAATACTTCCTCCTAGGAATTAGGTCAAGAATAATTCCTAAAAACAGCCAAAGGCTCGCATAACAAACCTGTTTACGTCTACGCGAGTAGCTTGGCAGCGTTTTCTTCGTAATTATGTAATGTTGGTTCTACCGAATCTTTCTAGTTCTACTCTGAAGTTTCTCTCTTTTAGAAAATGAATTTCTTTAATCTTTGGGATTAAGAAATGGAAACATCAAAGTTGAGATGACCTTTTTTGTTATTTATCCCACTTATTAGCGTTTAAAAAGAAGAAATTAGCGTTTAAAAAATTAATTGATTTAAAGAAAGAGGAAATAACGTTGAAACTATACAGGGTGTCCATGCTAAAGTGTGACAGACGCATACTTCAATAACTATTGATGATACGAAAAAATGGTTTACATGTAAATTGTAGGATACAATGGACTTTATCTTGTGGCGTAAACGAAACTCTTCCTATATTATTAATTTAAAAGATATGATGGTGAAGTTTCGATTTTTAAGCGGAAATATATATTTTTGGGGGTATTATGCGATAATGCTTTTCAAGGCGAATTCTTTGCCCTTAATGTATTTACCCAATTTTTAGTAGTTTTCAAGACAGTTTTCAACGCTTCGAAATTTACAAATTTTGTTCAATCTTGTTAAGTTTGTTAAATTTAAATTCACAAATTTACAGAACAATAAGAAACATTAAACTCCACCATCATATGTTTTAAATTAATAATACAAAAAAATTTTGTTTACGCCACGATATAGAGCCCATTGTATCCTGCAATTTACATGTAAACAATTTTTTTGTATCATCAATAGTTACTGAAATATGTGTCTGTCACACTTTAGCGTAGACACCCTGTATATTTTTAGTCTCAATATCTTGTTATTGACAAGATATTATATTATTGTTTATATGGACAATATAAGAATATCTAGCCCAACCTTTATTCTGTGTTTTATTAATTTTCACCATTTTAAAATAATTACAAGTCCCCTAAAATTTTGAAATACAAGAATGTATTTATATTTATGAATTCAACTATATATTTGCAACTACGTATATTTATTCTCAATATTTCTTATTGGGAAGAATATTATATTATTGTTTATAAAATTTGAGATGGACAAATTTAATTGTATTTATAAATTTGTCTAGTTCTAGAGCTTCATTAATTAATTATTCTAGAGGAAGTACAGTTGAATAATTAACTATATGTCACTTTTCACTAGATTAGCATTTTTTTAAAACACTTACTGGCGTGTTGAACATTTCCTCCAGACGATGTTTAGGGTCTTTCCCCTTCTTCGGTCTGACGAGCATGTAGATCTGTTCAATATCTGGCAGGCATCGAAGAAACTTCTCTACCATCACTTTTCCCATGAAACCAGTTCCACCAGTGATTAAAATATGTTGTCCTTTGAACGACAGGGCTATTCTGTCGAGTATCTCCTCCTCCTCCTCCACCCTCATTTCCACTTTTGTTTTCGTCATGGTCACTTCCTGAACAACAGAAGCAATAATTGTACGAATTGCGTCGTCTTCGAAGCTACAGTGGGTTTAGAAAGTATTCGTACACCGATCAATTTCTAAAAAAACTATGTGAAATTGTAATTTATTAACTTCTTTTTTATAAACAATGATATTTTATATATTCTTGGAAATCTCTAGAATGGATAGAGTACAAAAAAAAAACAGTTATTTATATAATTTGCGAAATTAACAAGAAAAAACAAAAAAACAATTAATCGATAGAAATATTGAAACAATAACTATTCGCACAATAATTATTCGAAGTGGGATCTTCTTCGATTCCTCTATTATAACCTTTTTTTAAAAGTTTAAAACTTTACTGGAAATTGAATGTTTTCTCATTCGTACAGAGCAATAAACTGATGTGTTTATGTTACAAACTCTACCGTAAATGGTTCATCGTAAGAATCGTACAAATACTTATTGCTTCTACATTTCTACCAATTTTTCGTATATTCTTGTTAATTTCGCAAATTATATAAACTAGTAATTGTTGTTTGGATATACTATATCTATATCTATATCTATAATTCTATAGATTTCTAAGAATATGTAGAATATCATTGATTATAAAAAGAGAATTCAAGAAACCACAATTTCACACAAAAGTTTTTTTGGGAAATTGATCGGTGTACGAATACATTCTACACCCACTGTATATACATTGTATAAATGCTTTCGAATATACAGAGTGGTCCACGCAATTGTTTTATGTTATAACACCATTATTATTGCATTTACGAAAAAATGCCAAAGGAGAAAGATAAATGGTTCGAAGAGTACTACATCTGTAGGCCTTTAAATTTTTTTTAGATGCAGCAGTGCGTATGCATCTAACAGTTGCATCATTTCTTTAAATAGAAATGCATATTCTTTTTTACACACATCGATTCTTCTGTTCATTCTATGTAAAAAATGATTAGGGTACCATGGCAAACAAATTATTACTTCTCGAGGTATTTTCAAAAAATGTTTTTATTGAAGAAGATGCTCAAACGCTTTTCCATTACATTGTAAACATTTCTGATAACGTTTTTTTATTGTTTAGATAACTGCGTTTAAATTGTCTCCATCACACAACACAAAAGTGGCGTACATATTTTGTTCCTCACTGTTAGTAAAATACATTTTCTTGTATTTAGTGAAATACAGTTACACTTTTACAAATTCTTAGTTTTCGTACTCGAGTTACGATACGTGAATTGCTACTAAATAATGAAATTCTTACTCGTATAAATGAATTTCTGTTATGATAACAATGTCGAAGGGTGTTTTACCTTTACAAGCGTGTTTACCTTACTAGTCATGAAGCGTTTGAGCATCTTTTTAAATAAAGACATTTTTTGAAAATATCTCGAAAAGTAATAATTTTTTTGCCATGGTACCCTAATCATTTTTTACGTAGAATGAACAGAAGAATCGATCTGTGTAAAAAAGAATATGCATTTCTATTTAAAGAAATGATGCAACTGTTAAATGCATATGCACTGCTGCATCGAAAAAAAATTTAAAGGCCTACAGATGTAGTGCTCTTTGAACAATTTATCTTTCTCCTTTGGAATTTTTTCGTAAATACAATAATAACGCAGTTATGACTTGAAACAATTGCGTTGACCACCCTGTATATGCGATTAGGTTGCAACATTTCGCGTGGTCTTCCACAATTTTCGTATTTGTCAGAGTTTACACACGTATAGAGATAACTATGTATGCAAATGAATGAGAAGCTGAGAGTCTTCTATGCAAGTAAGGAAAAAGAAATATAGGTTACGTCATAATTTGGTGTGAAATCATGACAAGCTCAATTTTTAATTTTTATATGTATATGATAGCTATGATGTTGCTTTGATACCTCTATGATTTTTATCCCCTTGTGTTGCAAAGAGTTTTTCAAAAGAGGCTCTGGTATTAGGTGGACCGAAAAGTAATGTCGTTTCTGTGAATCTCAATACTTCTTTATCATTCATCAATTCATTAATTTTTAACCATTTAGTATTGAATATTTGCCACTACATGGCAAAAGGTTGTTGATAAACGAGGATAATTATGATGAGTATTATGAATGTATTTGTCTAAATTTAATGTAAAAGAAATGACATTACTTTTTGGTACACCTAATATTTAATTTGTTTGTTTTTCAAATCAAATTCAAGTGTACCAAATTTCTAGTAGTGGAGGAGAGAAAAGAAGTAGCAGAACCGCAACTGTAAACGAAACAAAATCCTAGAACCTCCTTTGGAAAACCCTTCATGTATTCTAACTTCATAAATTCTTTAAATTCTTCTATGAACATTTTTTCGAATACTTTTTATTTTCCTTTGTGAAATTTTCTGATTCGTTCAGTAATGCTATACAGCGTATAGAAAATGACATTTTTCATGAAAAAAAAAAAGATTGAGTTAATTCGCCTTTGCAGCGAATGATAAAGATACGTGAGATAATTTATGAAAGTCGGATGTCGCGCTTGCGTTTATGCTGTTGATGAGAATGTCGAGATAATAGTCGCAGAGAATTGCTCGAATGCGAATATTATCAGTGATTAGAGTGGAGAACGTTCGAGGTTCGCCTGAAGCAAATGCAATGGGAACAGACATGGCAATTTATGACTTTTCCATGTTTATCCTCAGCCCTGAGACGTGCCAGTTTTTACAAAAAGAAGAGAAAAATGAGTCGCGGTATGCATTTTATATACTGCATTTCAAGAAGACAGTTTCAAGAATTTTTGTAGAAAATATGACTATTTTGTGTAAACATCTTTGAAAGTAACGTGGTTTGCAATTCAATGTGCACTGAGCGTGCAGTGATTATATTTGCTTAGGTTTGTGGTTTTTATAAAATTTTATAGTTCTGCTTTTTTGGATTTTTCAAGTTTTAGTATCCTATTCTAGAAAATTTTTAGGTGTTGGTGAAAGGGGAAATACAAAGTAAAATACATTTTGAGGAAGATCATAGTTTTGTAGTTGAAAATGATACATACAATTTTAGGGGAAAGAAGAAGAGAATTGCGTAACTGTAAAAATAGAATTTTGTGTTCTTTTGTATTTAAATGTATTTGATTTCCAACTAAAAATTGATGGTTTCTTCAATTCTATTTTCTATTCTTTCTATTTCGAAAATTTTCGTGTTTTTGTTTAGCATTTTTGGTTTTCTCTTAATTTAAATATATTTTATATGCATCCAATTAAATGAATGACTACAGAAATTGAAATTAATCAAACATTTCAGGAATGGAAACATTTATTTTTACTTTGGTGGTTAGTATCATACCCTAATTGGCCACGTGTAGCTAAATATAATGTACAAAAAGAAGACTAGAACCATGAAAATTCTCAAATAGATCATGATTATAAAATCTTCCTTATACAGTAAAGCAACTAAAACAGAATCTCAAACGTAATATCGTTTCCTAATTGCCCACTTTTTGGTTCGATAGCTAAAGCTAATAGCTCTTCAATAGCTACAAGACTATAACTATGAAAATTACCAAATACTCCATTATTGTATCAGTGTACCGTTCTTATACAGGGTGTTTCGCCCGATTTTGACATCTTGTTTTTCTCGCTATTGTTACTCGTAACAAGAAATGTTTCAGCGGAGGCTTGAATGGTTCGAGTGTAGCATATTCTGATATTATTAGTTTTTTTCGTGAGTGGGCGCGTAAACAAAACTAACGTCTTACTGCGGGAGTAATGATGCCTTAAGAATTTAAATAATTTAAATTGAGATATCTCCTGAACTACTCTATTGTGAACATTACATAGATAGTACTTTTTTATAACGATTGTCCAGCTGAATCGATTGATCTATTAAAAAATACCTCATTCCATTTAAAAAAACAAAGTTGACCTTTATATGACCTTTATGCGTCCACTCACGAAAAAATTAATAACATCAGAATATGCTCCACTCGATACCATCATGGATTTGAATGATTCCTTTTTTTCGTGGTCCAATTAGGAGACAGGAGAAAGAAAGAAAATTTAAAAAATCTGAATTTTAAAACGTTTTTTCAATTTCCCGAACATTTGAAAAAATGGAGCTGCCTCCTTATTGATGCACACCTCTCAATTCCCAAATAGTTCATTTATCCAACGGACAACCACTGTCGTTAGAGCAAAATGCCTACCTGTCCTCTAGAGGTGGCGTGCAAAATCACTAACCGTTATTTATCACAGTGATCGCAAAATCACGATCACGATGGTGATTTAATTTCATACACGAGCGTGACCATGGTTCTTTTATCTTGCTAGAATTGCGTGATCACAATTCTTGATCTTAATTTAATTACTTTTTATAAAATGTTTCAATATACATAGTTTGCATAAAAAAAAATCCGCATATAATAGTAATATCAATTTCCTTTATTAAGTAAATTAGTAGATCATTTATTTTGTGTGGTGGCTACTTCAGTCCCATGCGAAAGAATATTTTCTAAAGCAGGATTACTTTTAACGGAAAAAAGAAACAGATTGCAAGTAGAGAAATGATCTATGCTATTATTCTTGAACAGCAATACATAGTTACTCATTTGTTATTATATGTATTTAATTCCATTCTTATTTTGTTCTTTGTACTTTATTTATAGTATTCGTATTATGTTTTATGTATTAATTATATTATTTTCTAACAGTGTTACATTTTGTACAAGTCTAAAAACACTTACAACTAAACTAAGACTTGCAATTCATAATTATTGACTTATATTAATTACTCTTCACTGTTCCTCATTAAAGCATTCCTTTATTTACTATTCTTTACTTTACTTTATTTCATGCGGTGTAGGTAATTCACATTTTTGTTTTGATGTCGTTAATTACATACTTATGTAGAATATATGTAAAATATACAGATTAGTGTGTTTTTCATTACGATGCATTTACATTTAGGCTGAAGATTCTAATAACGCGTGCAAGGAATGGTTATGTTCTTCACCAATTAGAAGCGATCACGAAAAATCACGAACCACTGTGAAAAATCACCGTGATTGCCAACGAACCTGATTGGATCACGAATGATTCACAAGTAACAGTTCCAGCCATATCTACTGTCCTTATAAGATTATGCTTTCTTCTTTTCATTCCGCACCGTATGGATTACCGCGTTCACGTAAATATTTTGAACGTATAATACACTGAATACAAAGTTCAATCATTTACACACGTGGCGCCCACCAGGAGCAGCTAGAACTATCCTGTCCAGATTACATTAATTGATATTATTTAATTAGCCTCGTAATATTTTGGAAAACAACGAACTATGGAAACTTTCACTCATATGGATTACGAAACGTTTCTTTTTCGAGTTACATCATTTTAGAATATGATGTATTCGGGTTACCAATTAATTGAGAGACTGAAGATACTTTTTCGAATGAACAAGTGCCTTTCTATTGAGATAAAATCCGTTAGTAGGAAGCAGCGTTACGGTGAAGCAAATATCTCTTGCGTGTCGCAACTGTTTGCGTGGTTATGTGTAGACGACGAGTAATATCGCGTTGACAAAGATATTTAAGAAATTCGAATGGCAGTAACATAACTCGAGAAATTGTAAAAAGATCTTCCTGATAGGAGGGCAATAGGTCACTTTCCCTTTTATGCTTTCTCATTGTTATTTCTCCTGTTGTAAACTGTTAACATCGCAACATTTTATATTTTCGGATCACTTGTTTGGGGGATCGAGTAATTTTGTTGATGGAGAAGTTAAGAAAAATGATAAGGAAAAGTAAATAAAATTAAAAATTAAATTACACACGCTTGCATGCAATTTTTTGAAAAGTAGTTCAATTTTTCTTTTATTTTCTCAGATCCTCGACCAATAAATTTAATGTAACCCTCCATAATGTTATGTGACTTTGAAATCATGTACTCATTATCCACACTTTTCAAGTATGATTTAACTTTATTTTTAATGCGTATCAATACGAACTTTAAAACTTTGCTGTAGTCTGCATACAATTTTCTTACAATAACTGTTTTAATACTTAGCCCAGGGCGAGTATATTTAGAAGCTTTTGTTTATTAAACTCTAGCAAATAATGTATATATCTCCATATTAATGTTTGTAAGTGGATTTACTGTATAGTTAGAAACTAAATTTAATTTGATTTAGAGAGGGTAAATTTATAAACTTTCTAATTTTCTAGTGGCAAATATAGTGTAATACTTATTTCCATCATTTTACATAGAATAGTATTTTCAATTGATTAAGCCAGAGCGAGTACAATTAAAGGTTTATAGTTATTAAAATTTAACATTCAATTTATATCTCTGTATCAATATTTATCAATTTCATTTAAAAGCTAAATATAATTTAATTTTTAGAGGGTAAATTAATGTATTTATAATCTTTCTAGTTTCTTAGTGGAAAATATAGAATAACTCTTATTTCCGTCGTTTCGCCTACAATACTATTTTCCATTGATTTGTGTTATTAATTTTGTTTGCCAATTAATATTAGCTTGTTCTCAAGACACATTCTAGATACATGGTTAATTAAATTGCATAAATTAAACTGCTTACAGTACAAACTGGTCTTAACTGATTTCTAAATAGGGAAATTTATATTTAAAAAATTTTAGTGATTTAAAGTCACGTAGGTATGCATCGTTATAGATTGAGCATTTTGTTTGTCAATTTAACGCTACGCAACGCGTTGAATCACTGTACACATATTACATATCGTTAAATCCCGGTTACTATTACGTTAAAGTATTGCTTCACTTAGAAAGTTCAGCGTTCCTAGCTCTGAATAGTTAGACATGCATTTCGCGAAAAAATTCTCATAAACCGTGTCGTAATTTCATGATTGGAGATTCATCTTATTTTATGGTTAATTAAAATGTGCAAAATATTTTATGCACTTTATAGCATTTATTTTATGTAAAATAAAATCTTTGCAAAAGTACCCTACAAAAATCGACCTTAAATATGAATTTAGTTTACTCTATAAATATTGCAGTAGGAATTTTAGTTCAATACTTTTTTATATTCTTGCATACTATGTGCACTTTACATTTCCCATTGCATTTTATTATTTCTAAATTTCCTATAAATGCATTAAAATTCACAATCTAGTTATAATATTAACATTTCATGGCGAATAGCTGTCATACAGAAATAATATTTATTCCTATTGGGCACGATGTTCTGGTAAATTAAAATAGATTGCAACAATAAAATGTGGAGTACGTCAGACCTTTTCTTTGTGAGTATTAAAGGTAGTAAGTAGTAACATAAGACGTAAACATCAGCTTTAATCGTTATTTATCATGCATAAAATAGTATGTATACAATACATAACGATTAAACAATGTTGCGGATACAACAAATCAGAAATTTTAATTGTCTTTCATACGTATAATACAGGAGTAAAGAAAACATATATACTGTAGATTGTGTTATTGAACTCTCTTAATTTATCACTTCTTTCTAAATTAAAATAAAATAACACTTTTTTTATTCTAGTGTTTCGTTAATACTATTTGATTCTAGAAACGTGTATCTGTCTTTACTGAATATTATTAAATATCTGCAATATAATTAACAGAATACAATACTGCAAACCACATAATAAAATGATGTTTTGCAGCTAGTATGCTTTGAAAATAGAATGAAAATGCACGAATGATACTTAAAAAAACACTGAATTAAAATTCAATCTATAAAATACGTGAATATCAAGTGAGCGATGAAATAAATGATTTAAAAATTAAGGAAAAATGAATAACTTGTAGCGTGAACACTTACGAGATAGAAGAAAATTCTTCGCCTCGCGTTTTATCCTAAATGCGAGCACTAGGAGCTACGGTTGGCGAACGAACCGAACGAAAGCACGATTGTTAGCAAGAGTAACCGGCTAGAGACGATGATCGTTCTTGCTCCGTTGGTGAGCCCGTTGCAGACTGAGAAAGCATGACGCTAGCCCAATATTTTCCTGAACGTTCATCGTCGCCGGTGCAGGACCGTATTCGTTTCTCCGTCTGACCCATGTTTGCCCCACTAACGCTCAAACGCATCCCCTCTCACTTCTAGTGTCGATGTAGTGTATGCAAATTAGTGAGAGTTCGATATGTATGAATGCATGAGTGTAAGTAAACAGTGAGTACACCAGTTACCTGTACGAACTGGTAGAGTGTACTCAGAGGGATCTCCTAACTACTGATTCCTATGTGGAAATTTCTAAGAATTTATCCAACTACTATTTATTAAAAATTAACCATTCAAGCGGAACAGCTACCTCGAACGCGTAAAAATCATAGCCAGATTCAACAATTTTTTATTCGAAAACATCTGACTCGATAGCAGATTTGTTTGCTGGGATTTATTACACATACATATATCAAATAATTCAAAAATAATTTTTATTCAGATTTTTTAAATAAAATATCGTTGGCCTCCCTCCCTCCTTAGAATTACTCATTATATTAACATATTGATCGCCACGTCTATATATGGATGACAGCTGGATTTTTACTAAGAAGTTAAAAAATTAATTTTGAAGATCAAATGTTAATGAAAATAAGTCTGGATAGAACTCGTAATTTTGTATCGTGTTGCAAAAATAAGTACTCTAACAAATGTTACATTGTTAGGCCTCTCTCTCAGGTGTTAATATGACTCGATACTTATACCTACAAAATTTTGGAGACGCTTCAACAATTACAGTCGAAAAGTTCCTAAACTGCCTACATAAACAATGAATATTTGTCAAAAAAGACTCGGTATACCTCTATTGCGTATTTACATTCTACACCAACTGTATGTTATATCTAATAGTGTTTCATATACAGGGTGTCCCAAAAATGTTGTAACACCTTGAAAGGGGTGGTTCGGGAGGTGATTTGAAACAACTTTTTCCTTAGCGAAAATGTTGTCTGAGGCTTCGTTAAGGAAATATAACAGAAAACGTCGACCAATTAGAGCGCGCGTATACCGTCGGAGTGGCCTTGGTAGCCTATGAGCACAGCCGCCTAGCGCGCAGTCTCCTCCTACCGCGGGCGCTCCAACGGTATACGCGCGCTCTGATTGGTCGGGGTTTTTCTCTTAATATCTCTTTAACGAAGCCTCGGACAACATTTTCGCTAAGGAAAAAGTTGTTTCAAATCACCTCTCGAACCACCCCTTTCAAGATGTTACAACATTTTTGGGACACCCTGTATTTTTATATTTGCGCACCTTCTCATAGATTTCCCCACATATGGGGTGTCCCAGAATTAGTGCAAGAATTGATTTAACAGGCATTAATTCGAGCTATTTAATTGAGGATTTGTTTATATCTTCAATGTTAAAAGACATTTATATAAAATTCAATTAATTATATAAGTAACATATATAAGGTTATTAGATGGATGCCGGATTTATTTAGAGATATTACTTTAACTTATATCTATGTTATATATTTGTTTTATTTTGTAGTCATTGAATAAGAATACAAATTATTCATACAAATACATTATTATATACAGGGTGTCCCAAAATTCGCGTAGGAGCCGGAAATGGGGGTAGCTGAGACTAAACTGAACCACTGTTTCCTTTCCAAGAATGTCGAACAGTGCTTCGTTTTTGAATTATTAAAGAAAAAGGAAGCATCATCAGAGATTTTTGCAACGGAAATTATGGTTCAAAATCGTTTTAGCTATCCCCCATTTCCGGTTCTTACACTAATTCTGGGACACCCAGTATATTCATTTGCCAGAAATGCATAAATATCCGTAGTCTCGTGATCATCGAAAGATCCAATTTAGACCGTATCGAAACGTTAACGTCATGATTTCTAAATTACCACTTTGCTCGAGGAATTTCGCTAAGGAACAATTGAGTGGAACGAATAATTTCGATGCGACTGCAAGTAATTTTGGAGAGTGGCGTACGTGACAAAACGGGGCTTGAGTAATCACAAAATACGATTTATAGAAAGCTGCGTGGACCTCGTGTAAAGAAATTCTAGCATAAGATTGCCAAAGCCTACTTGCTTGACCCTTTGTTAAGTTATATAACACGCGCAGAAAGGAGTCAGATTTTATCCGACCCCTTTCTTCGAGTTGCTCAATCTGATATTTTCAGTGCGTAACGTCCGCGTGTGTAGTTTACTTTGTCAT